ATTTGTCAGTAGTGGCTGTTGTTCAGGATGAACAGGTATGGACTTATGTTGTTTTTGTCCACTACGCCATTCATAAGTAGAAACACCATCTGCAAGCGAACCATCCAACGCAATGACAAATCCAATTTCATCACCTTTTAAAATATAATCATCCGGATTAATCAATACCGTGTAGTTTTTGGGACCATCCACGTCGTAGCCATTTTGATCGAGCATCCAGCGAGTGGATAATTTGCCAAACGAGTGTTGTTTCGGAATTCCAAGTGCAAATAATACGACACCTAAGTCTTCGTAAAGACGTTCTACAATCCAAATTAAAATGAAAATGAAATGAATATACTCTAAAATAATTTAATACAAAAATAAAAATATGAAAAGTCACCAGTAACTGTCAAGAAATTATGCCCAGAGAAATGATTGGATAAAGTGGTAGTGTAAATTGACTGGGAAAATCCGGTAATATAATCCTCGATAGCGTCACTATCCAAGCCGACAGAAGAGCGTCGTCGTTTCCTGGTCCCGCGTCTTAATTCATGCGCTGACTCAAAGGTAAATGATGTAGTAAGTCCATATAAAAGTGTGGAAAATCCAGGGGTCAGACACGAATGAGCAAGAATGGCTAATTTTAATTCATCGATACAAATAATTTGCTCCGGGTCTAAATAGACAAATAATTAATTAATAAGTATTAATCATACCTTCAATAATAGAATATTTTATTTTATTTTATTTTTTTAGCTTACTTAAACTTTCGAAGTGAATTTTATTTTCTGGAAGAATACATTGAATATAAAGTCTTGGACCTTCATCAAATTTACTTAAAGCCTACATGAAAAAGAATAAAATATGGATATACATAAATATTATTGGAATTCAATTTGAAATAAAGAAATATTTATAAGTACTATTGCTTTTAACACGTTCTCTGCATCAATTATTTCGCTTTGTTGAGTATATTTTTTAGCCAAAATAAAATAAGCGCAAGCATTTTTTGCATCGACCTTTTCTAGGTTACGTGCATCAAGAGAACTTCCACGAATATATTGTACACGATGTGCAAAGACGGGATCAGATAAAAATGTTCTGACGCGATCGGTTGGATCCAGAGGATTTAATATTACAACCTTCGTAAATGGTAAACAGATAATTAATTATAATAGTAATATAGTAATATACATAATATGCAAAAGCGCCTTAAGAATGCTTTACTTTTGTATTGAAAGTTGCGGATCCATGAGCTAAAGAATAAAACTCTTTCAAAAAATGTCTTAACGATGGTAGTTCTATAGTTGGTGCTATTATAATAACGTGTGGTTGCTGTGAAATTTTACGGAATGGTTTGTCATAAATGGATTTTGAGCGTATCAACATGGTCAATTCTGATATGGAATACTAAAAATTAAGGATTATCAACATAATTATCATAATGAAATATATCTTAAATGCTAATAAAATTATAATTGCTACCGGAATCAAGATGAGACCCGTAGTAAATATCACCAAAAGAAGAATTCTTGGAAAAGCATTATCAGGTACTATGTCACTTAGATAACCAACAGTACCCAACATAATAGTTGTGAAAAAAACGGCTGTTTATAACAAAAAATTAATAAGTTTATAATAATAAATTATGCAAAAACCAAATGGCCATAATTAAGTACCATCCAAGAAAGTAATATTTTGAGCATCCTACGGTTAAAGTGATTTAAATTTTACGCGTAATTTTTCAGAGAGATTGAATAAATCAAAATAATTTGAAAGTTACTCACCATGTAGGCATATTCAACACCATGTAACAATGAAGAACCAGCCAAAATAAGAAACAAAACCGTTGAAAAAAAGATCAAAGTCTTGCTAGTAACTTGGCCAAGTTTTAAAACTGATTTTTCACTCCTTACTAGACAATCACGCACGGATAAATAACATCGAATAAAACGAAAAGGATAAAAAAAGACAATATAACGGGTTTCTTTAAAAACCGGATCCATTGCAATTGCAAACACGGGATAAACGGTCAAAACTGTAAGGATAGGTGAAACTTTGGTAATCAATGATTTCCATGACTCGAATTCATATATATAAAACTTTGGAACATATTCCATAACTAATAGGATGGCCACCACAATTTCAAAAAACACGTTAAACGTTGGTAATGAAGGCTCCTTCATATAACCAGTATGAGCAATATAAATCAGACAAAGTAAAATATTGAGGAAAGCGTCCACGAGTTTCCATATGCTGCCAATTTCTGAACTATCAAGTTCGACAGCCAATTGTTCACGCCATGAGGGTTGATACAGTGCATGATAACCTGGTTGTTTTAAAGAAAAACTAGTTGAAGAAACCGATATTAAGGAAGAGGCTCTGCTAGAAGAAGAAGAAGTTTTTTTGGAAGGGAGAAGAAAAGTAACGTGAGTAGGTTCTTCTATCGGTTCGGGAGTCGTCGACAAAACCCTTGACATTTTGCCACGAAATGATTTTCAAGCAAGTCAATGGCGTTCAAACGCCTTTATTTATTTAAATGCATATTTTCTAAAGCGAGTACGTAGATAAACCCGATCTTGATAATTTATAATTAAGATCATGTGATTTTTTTCAATAATTCGGTAATTATTACAGCTCATTGCAGCAATTTATAATGCACATTGTTATCTAAAACCCGTTTCGCATGTAAGCATGTAATTCCATTATTTTAATTCTGTAATTGTATTTTTACGATTATCTCCAATTGATAATCGAAATTAAAGTCATACGAAAGTTTCGTTTCTGATACACTTGGTATAAACATTCACTACAGTAAGAAATTTTCAGGTACATTTGATACTTGTGCATTGGACCAGAGACTCGATATAAGGTAAAGAAGGTATCAACAATATTTCTAGCGTTCAAAATAAGATGAACCAAATCTGATCACCAATTCTTATCACCATTTCAGCGCCACAATACCTTTCTTAGCGCAGAAATGTAATACGTACGTACGTGCAATAACATGAACAGTAAGGGTTCATTAAATTTAGCGATTTACTTGTTTGTGCCGGTAATACAACCCAAGAAAGGAAATTTAATTTTGTAAATAAACCAAGTGCGTAAAAACACAAATTTACGTTAACATTAACATTAGAAGCTATATCCGTAGACGTTGCTCATTATATGTAAAATCTCAATTAAAACACTAGTTTTTGAGTATTTTCGCTTTTTTCGTCTTTCTCACGTGTTCGGAATTCATGTCGGGCTGATCCGGAACGATCGAAATTTGAACTCACTGATTGGCTATTCCCTTTTTAGGAGTTTGTATTACCGGTACAAATAGCCCGTTAACGTGTAAAATTAAAATTTTTCATTGTAAACAATTTAAGCAATTTACCTAATGCAGTAATGTGGTAGTGAGAAAAGTAATACGTATATGGATATCACTACCGGCGGAGCAGCTTATATGTATAAATGCTGGCTAATACAGAACTACAATTTAAGAAACCTTACTATATATATAATTACATAATGGATGCTTTCACTATGTCTTTTGCTTTTTTTTTCACTATACTTTATTTTTTTTTTTTTCTTAGGCAATCTGGTTTACTTTATTTGGAGAAAAACTGAAAGTTTTTACATAGACATTGTAATCTTTACAGATATACTATCTCAGCCAAAAATAAATCTTACTCAGTTTTATATATACAAGTTTATGGTGAACTATTAACTGCTATATTATATTTAGATGTAACTTGTTATAGTTACACTTGGCCTTCTCTAGAGGTTCAAAATTTACTTTAGACTTTTTTTTTTTCAGAATTAATGACTAGTATGTAGCCAGCCTTGTTAGAATTCCTGCTCTATAATAGAGTATTGTCAATCTAATAACATTTTCTTGTAGAGAAGAAAAAATATATATATATAAAAGAGGTGTATAAAAAAAAAACCAAATATATATATAAAAATAAGTACTAATACTATATAAAAGGAAATTAAAAACAAAAACAGAAATAAAATTTAAAAAAAACTATCACTAGAAAAAAGAAAACATTTTTTAAAATGAGGATAGAACTCTTTCTGTCAATCACTTACACAAAACTTAACTAAAAATTTATCAGTTAAAATCTTTAATAACACATTAATTTACTAAAACAACCACTCTCAATATCTTAATTAAACTTGCTCAGCTCTTAATCTTACATATATCTTAAAAGTTTCAAGCTTCTATCTTAAAAACTCGTAATATAACGATACTAAAACTACTTTTAGCTCT